GGAAATTTCATAACTTAGAAAATTTCTAAGTTATGAAATTTCTTCATTTCAAACCCTAATTTGTAATTTTTGGTTTCTTGATGAACAAGTTTCATAATTTGACATGTCTTGATGAAAAATGGATCTTGGCACTTGATTTTGACCAAAAAGTCAAAGTTTGACTCAGTATACAGTCAAATTTGATCAGTTGATTTGGAAAATTCATCTGTCAATCTTGTGCATTTGGGATCTTTTGAACTTGTTGACTGTGTCAAGACCATGTCATTGAGTCCTTGATTCCATATGTGAATTTGGTTTGCCATTGTCTAGGTCAAACAGTCAAAAATTGCCTTTGTGCAGTCAAAACCCTAAAAATGACCATTTTGCCCTTTTGGTGATCTGATCAAATTTCTTGTGGAATTGTGATCCAAACTTGATCAAATGGTCCATATGAGTTCATAATGTTGATGTGGGTCAAAAATCATGAGGTTTGACTGTCAATTGACCACAGTTGACTTTTTCCCCAATACAGCTGATTTCTAGGTCAACTGTCCAATTGATTGGGCAAAGATTGGAATCAAAGCTTGAAACTTGGTATGGATAAACTTGTGAGTCCAACATGAAGCATGAAAGTCATTTTGGGAATTCTAGGTCAAAACATATTTGTGCAAACTCAAACCCTAATTTGGGTCAACAGTGCAAGGAGGAGCCTTGAGCAGAGTAAACCCTAACTTGATCTTGAGCTTCAAGGGCCTTGTGGTGAGAAAATATTGATGAAATGGGAGGGCAAATTTTGGGGTACAACACCATGGAAAACCATGGATGGAAAGGGTGCTAACACCTTCCCTTTCCATAATATACCACCCGTACTCAAAAACATCTCGAAAAAGGTTTTTTCTGTTCTTTTTCCCTTTTCCTTTGTTGGATGAAATAAAAGACGGTGGCGACTCTTGCTTACCGTACATTTGTGAACAAAAAACACAAAACCAGTAGTAACAAAAAACCGTCAGTTCTGCCACCGTATTACAGATGCAAACGTTGATTTAAATTTACTTTTAGTCAACCTAAATGCATGAATGATCGACTAATGATTCAGGTTGGGTTCAAGCCGGGTCTTAGAGTTTTATCTCTAGGGTTTTTGTTCAGGTCAGACCCAACCTGAATCCCATTTTAACCCTAAAAGCCTAATTGGTTCATAGCATTGAACCTGAGTTTTTTTTGTTTTTTGCTTTTAATTGGGTCATACCCCCATCATACTGAGCGCGCCTTCCTTGTAATTTTCCGCAAGGCCCATTCATTTATTTTTGGTATTTTCTTTTGTTATTGTTTTTTTGTTTTAGTTATTTATTCAAAATAAAAAGAAAATAATAATAAATATTTTATAATTCAAAAGGAAAAGTTTTTATCTTATAAAAAAAACAAAAATATTTATATTGAAATGTTTTTGTTTCACTTTTTATTTTTGTCAAAATAATTAAAAAAGGACCAAAAATGATTATTGTAAAAAATCAACATTTAGATGCATGCCTTAGGTTTTCCCTTGATCAAAGATATTTTTAAAAATATAAAATATTTTCCTTTAAAAGTTAATTTTCTTTTTTGAAGTAAATTTGTTTCATTTTTGGTTGAATTAATTGATCCTCGTTTTTGGATGTATGCTTGAGGGGGTTGTCTATACTTCATGTATGATTTATTTAGCCATTCACTTAGACCATATTGCTTGCTAAATAAGATAAAAGTTAATGCACAATAAAATGAATCTTTCATAATAAGATTCAAACATAGAAAATTAATACAATGAGAATGGAAGAATAAGTTGCAACAACGAAAAAGAGGAAAACTATAGAACAACGTTTAGCTTTTTTTAATAAGGGCCGGTACAAGAATTGATGCTTCAGATTGAATAGCTGGAGAAAATCAGAGGTTAATAAATATATTATTCCATCGATCCAAATAAGGAGGATCAAACATTATATAACAAAGATAACTACCTAGAAGGACTTGTTGCATAGGTACAAAGGAGAAATATGCCATATAATCTAAGTGGTGATTGAGAAGAATAAGAAACATGCAGAGGGGTGAACTCCAACTTGGCATGGTGATGATGACTTTGCAATCTTTGGAGTAACCAATGGCATTGAGACATGTTGTGTTGATCTAAAAAAAAAAGAAACACGCTCGTGTAGAAAATGAGACTTGTTTGGGATGCCTTGCAGTCATGTAATCACATGTATCTGGACATCAAGAAAAAAGCTCGAGGATTATGTGGCTGAGTACTATAGGTATGATCTTGTTTTAGTCTGATTAATATATAATGATCTTGTCTTATTTTGATTACAGGGTTGAGTATTTATTTCTAATTCTGCGGGAAATCAACATTAGAGATGACTTATTCAAACATTGTATTTCCAACAAATGGACCGCAATTGTGGCCATTGGTTGATCAAGTGCCAATTTATCCCCCTATGATGAGACATGAAATTGGTCGACCAAAAAAGTTGAGAAATAAGACAGGTGATAAACCAAAGAACCCTTATGTTCTATCAAGGAAACTCTCAACAGTTAGTTTTAAAAAAATGGTGAAGTTGGTCATAATAAGAGGAGTTATAAAGGGAAGAGGGCGGCTGACTGGACAATCCCTAAGGGATGTAACAAGACAAAGAACGCAAAGACAACTAAAGTTGGAAAAGGGAAGAAAAAGACCAACTAAAACCAATCTGAAATTCCAAAAGGATCTCAAAAACCTCGAGCTACTCAGTCTACTCAATATTAGATGTATTAAGTAGCATAGGCCCTTTTTGAGTTTAATCAATTAAAATATTTTAGTATGCTGTAATGATGACAATATTTTGTTATGTTATAATGAACGTCTGTTATGCTGTAATGAACATATTTTGGTATGTTGTAATGAACAACTTCTGAATTATATAAAAGCTATTTTGATATCTTGTTTATATGTTTTTTTTGCTCTCAAATAAGTTGTTTTGTTATGTTTAAGTTAGGACAAACTCAGGCCTGTTTATATGTCTAAGTCGGGCCAATTCTAGGTAGGTCATGCCAATTTCATGCAAACCCGGGCAAATCTGGCCAGACTTATGCCAATTGCAGGGCAGTTCATTCCAATTTCATGTCAAGTCAAACCAAACTCATGCCAATTCATGCCAAAGTCATGTAAAACTCAAGCCAAATGCTGGACAACTCAAACCAATTTCAGGTCAAGTCAATCCAAAGTCATGCAAAACTCATGCCTTATTCATTGACTTTTGACAATATCATAACACACATAATTCATTCATTATTGTTGAACAACTTAATTGCTTAAACATATTTCATTCATTGATCAAATATATTACATCATTGTTGATACATTATTACAACATAATAACCTAAAACCTAATCACTTCAAAACTAACCAATACATGATTTGAACATAAAAACACCTAAAACATATTTCATTAAGGTTGAACCAACTAAAGCAAACAAAATAATGAAGGTGGTCATCCAATTGAACTTCAATTACTTCTTCAATATCTTCATTTTAATCTTCGTTTCTTCATCTTTTGCTTTGTTAGAATTAACATTTTTCTTCTCTTCATTTAGATTATTTAGTAATGAATAGATTATTTCTTTTGTCCTATGACTCATCTCCTCATCCAACCAAACAAAGTGACTATATTTCTTGTAACCTTGAACCTGGAAACATGAACGAAGATAAAGGGAGATGAATACATGAAAAATCGTGAATTGGGTAACACATTGCAGAAATTATAACACACTTTGCACATCTCACATCTATTGAAACAGGGGTTTGAGTTTGCATTTGTCTATGTCGTCATCAAAGGAGCATTAAGTCCACACTTACATTCATATCCCAGACGATTAGATCTATTTCTATGACTGAAAATCAATTGTTGCAACATGAACATGAACATGATGAAGAACAATCAAGGTGCAACAAAATGAACGGACAAGATGAGAACCCAGGTAAAGAACATGAACAGGGTGAAGAAGGAAGATGACATGTCTGAAAACGAGAAAAGAGATTTATTTTATGCAATTTTTAACCTTATATTAATATATAAATCTAATTTTAATAGTTTTAAAAGTTTTTGTAAAAAAAAAAAAAAATTATTTTTAAAATAAGTTAAAAGGGATCAAATAAATCCTAAAGAAAATGCAATATAAAGACTATAAAATTAAGTTATTTAATGTGGACCAAAACATTATAATCATCTAAATAAATAAAAAATCTAAAGTACATTTAAACCTACAAAATATTGTATTTTATATTATTTTATATTTATCAAATAAACTAAAATATCAATGTTATTTTTCATGAGTCTCACGAGTGTTAAACTTGTTATTACTATAAAAGTAAGTTATGAAATTCATAAAATAACAAATTAGCCTCTTAATTAATCAGCATAACTCAAGTGTAAAAAATCTTTCCTTATTTCATCAATAATCAAACAATTGGTTTCCAATAGGAAAGAACTCCGACTAAGAATCATATTCGAAAAATATAAAGTTTGATTTTTAATAGATAATAATATTTGACCGATCTTTATACTTAGACTAACTTAACTCAAGTCTCTATATATGATTTATCTTTAATATATTAAGATAGAATACACTTAGGCGCTAAATTTTGAATAAAATTTTTATCTAAATTATTTTTAATCATATTTTTTTCAAGAAATATTATTTAATATATTAATTAATATTTAATATTAATTACTCCAACTCATTATTTCATCACTAATTCAATTATTTAATTAACAAAAATTCTATAAAAAAAATTATCACTTATACTTATATATTCATAATTTATATGTGTAAACAGGTAACAAGAGGTTGCCGGTGGAAGGGTTGTTTATTGGCGCATAAAAATCCCAATCAATTTGGGACCGTAAAAGTAGAACCATATCTATATCTATCCACATATATCACCAAAAAAAATAATACCTAAAATTTATTTGGAAAAGAAAAAGAAACACAAAAGGAAGGAGATATCGTCGGATATGGATGCAATGCAAATAGGTCTACCAGTTTTGGGCATTGTTGCAGCTGCAGTTGTGACCTTCTATGCAGTGAGTTTCAATGAGATTAGAGAGGTAATTATAATTAAGCAATATTATGTTTATTATATACTCTGTGTTTATGAATCTTATAAAATTGAATTATTACACAGAAATCACTTCCAGATTGGGATGAATCTGAATCAGAAAATGGAGCTTTTAGACGACCATTCAGTTCCCGAAAGAGGCGAGCTAAGAGACAAGCTAGTAAAAATAAAAAAACCTAAATTTAATCTATCTTCTCTTTCCTTTCATTTCTTTAATATTGTGATGTTTAGTTAATTAATTGTATTATACTACTCGTTTTATTTTGTTGTCATATTGTTACAAAGCTCCACGATCTTAGACTCATTCCATGAATTGTAGCATTAATCTCATCATTCTCTATTACATCATTTTTTTCTCAATAAGTATTAGGTAAGATAGGTGACATAATTTGAGTGTTGAAAGCTGCTGTGATAAATTTGGGCAAAGGGAATGATAATATCAATAAAATGGCATAATGATTATTCTTTGAGTGTAATTTTTTTTAATGTTTTGTTTGAGAGTTTGGAAGCGACAACAGAGAAAACTTTTACAAATAAAGGAAGAAATGAACGAAAAGAATAGAGAAAATTAAGTAGAAGAAGGTTTTGGGAGATTTAATTTATTCAAAAATTAAATTTTTTAAAATTCGAAGAAAATAAAATATTATATTGGAAGAGGAGTTTAAATTTAAACAAATGTTTCAATATATACTAATATAGTATATATGTTGTTATGATATTTTGTAAATTAAAAATATATTAATGATAAATATTTTTTATTATTATATATAAAATTTAAAATATTATTTTTAAAAAATTCTTTTTATCATTCTCTAAAACAAAGTTTTACTGAACTAGATTAATCTCATTTAATTACATTTGTGGTTCAGTCCCTTCTTTCTTAAACAATTGTTTTAATTTATTCAATATTCAACAAAAAAAATTCGTTTGTTTTGATTTCAATAGGTATATGCAACAATAAATGTCAACTAAGTTGAAGTCATACCAATTGTTAGACGATAGACAATAATTCAGAGGGGTGAATACATCGCTAATGAAACTTTCTTGTTTTAAATTTATTTAACTATGGCAAGCGGAAGCAATTCTGAATCGACAATCGTGTATTCCGAACTGTTATCGAAAGAATCGGATATACGTTGAACCGTATCAAAAAAGAATTCAAATAATGAGAGAACTAATCAATATATTCTCAAATATAATGTTTGAATAAAATCACACAATGATAATCAATTTCCAATGAAATATTAAACATAAACAGACTTAAACAATTTATCGAACACTTGGTGTGCAATCAATTCTAATCAAATTTTTCTTTAATTTTGTTGATATGACAATCTAATTACAATCTTATGGATTGTAATTAACTCAACAAAAACAATTTGAAATACTATTAAGAAACAAGTTATCTCAAAATATTTATTCCACAATTAATGGATTTACAATTTGCAATGAAAGTAACACACATACACACACACACACACACACACACACACACACACACACACACACACACACACAGAGAGAGAGAGAGAGAGAGAGAGAGAGAGAGAGAGAGAGAGAGAGAGAGAGAGAGAGAGAGAGAGAGAGAGAGAGAGAGAGAGAGAGAGAGAGAGGAGAGAGAGAGAGAGAGAGAGAGAGAGAGAGAGAGAGAGAGAGAGAGAGAGAGAGAGAGAGAGAGAGAGAGAGAGAGAGAGAGAGAGAGGAGAGAGAGAGAGAGAGAGAGAGAGAGAGAGAGAGAGAGAGATTTATTTAGGCAGTTTTCCAATCGGCTTCGCTATGGGTATGTCTGCCCCCAATTCCTAATGGAATTGAGATAATGAAAGTTAACATTTGCAAATGTTGTTTACAAGAGAAAAATGAGCAATTCAACCCTCTAAACCTTATGTTAGATGTTGATCTTATCTTTTTCTCTTCCCTTGATCTTGAGCTCGATAAAGTAACCCAATACTTCCAACTTGATCCTCAGGTTACCGTTACTCCTTTAACAGAAACTCTATTCTTCAAAGCTTTCACTCGGCTGAATCTAAATTACGAACTATTTTGATCCAAGATTACCAAATTGATCCTCCGGTTACCGTTACTCCTTTGACAGAAACGTCTTTCTTCAAATCTTTCACTCAGCTGAATCCAATTTGTGAAATCGTGTGAAAAAATCTCAAATCAACCTTGATCTTGGAAGAAAATTTCAGCTGGATTTATCTTGAAACCCCGAAGAATTTCCAACCCAATTGATTACAACAAACATAATTAGACCTTATCAAACTATCTCTAGATCACACAACAAAAATGATTATGTGTAGTAGTTGTATAAATGCAATGAGAGAGGACGATGATGAAAAATTTCTTTGTATATTTTTTTCGTCTCAATCACCTTGAAATGATGTATGAATGCCTTTAGATATGTGCGTGTGTGTAAAAGAAGTAACTGAAAAAAATCAGAATTGCAAAATTTCAGTTTTGGATATTTTAAGTCAGTGGAAGTCGACTCATTCGCATTGGGAGTCAACTCATAGAAGTTGCGGAGTTGACCCATGCTGAGTCGACTCCAAGAGGTCAATTTTTTTTTGGAAAGAAAACGCTTAAGGAGAAGTCGACCCATAGCTCGAGGGAGTCGACCCATTTTTGTTGTGTGTCGACTCATAATGCCTATGTATCGACCCATTGGTAATAGAGGTTTTGTTTCAAAAATTATTTTAGTGGGAGTCGACCCACAACTCGAGGGAGTCGACCCATTCATGTTTTGAGTCAACCCATAACACCTATGTATTGACTCATCCAAGGCAGAGATTTTTATTTCAATTTTTCTTTAGAAGGAGTCGACTCCTAACATGGATGTGTCAACTCTAAACATAATTTTTCATGAAAATTCATATTTTTGACTTATTCAAATTCTTTTGACTTGTTATATAAGAGTCCTAAGATGGAAATGAAACCTTAGACATATAGATAAAATGTCCAATGTATAAATACTAATATTTTCCATTTTTAACATCATTCAAAACATCTAATAAGAGAATAGTTCACTCACACTAATAATTTTGGAAAATGCTTTTTCCACCCTTAAGGATGCATTCACACCTTTGGAAACTCGAAAATGTCCTTCATGTGTTCGGAGATGCATCTCCGGACGCATCTAAAATCACACTGTCGCGGCGGGAAAAATCAAGATTAAGCTATTGATTAACTTAACTCAAAAAGTAAGAGTTGCCACCAAACTTTATTGTTTCTAAAGGAATGGGAAAATATTGATAAAACCCATAAAAAGTTTTAAAACAAAACTAATAAAGGAGAGATCTGGATATGGAGGTTGGTTATGTAAGGGGAATATATTAGCACCCCCACATCTATGGTACTCCATAGAAACCTCTTGAAAATTTGTGTTATAAAAAATAAGTTGTTTGCAAAAGAGACTGATGGAATGGGAAAAGAAGTTTTTTTTTATGATTTTTGTTTGACAAAACTTCAAGAGCCTCGTGCCTACATATCAACCAAGTGCAATAAAGAATCAAAACCTCGTAGTTCATGATAAAAAAACAAAAACTTATTTGTTTTGGTTGGTTTTAATGAAGAGACATGTTGTCGTATTCAAGTGGAAAACTCACTTACTACTCACAATTATGAGGAAAGAGCATTTTCATCATCTTGATATGGAGAATTTTGCTTGGATTTAATCAACAACGAAATTCTCAATAATCAAGTGGAAAATACCAATCACTTCACAACATATTGTAGAAGTATAGTAGCTTGCATAACTACAAGAATCAACTAATGTCCAGTCTTTGAGAAAAAGATTTTAAAAGGAAAAGTGCACAAAGGGCACAAAATATTTCAACGAGTTTGGTGTTTTTTAATCTTTTGAAATGATTTTTGATATGCTTAAGATGTTTTAGTATTTATTAAGAAAAAAGTTTTGAAAATCACTTGACAGAGTCAATGTTTATTGAGAAAGAGGTTTCAAGTTTGAAAACAAGAAGATTTTGTAATAGGGAGAAGATTTTGAAAATTAAATAAGGGGAGGAGATGAAGAGACTATCCTAAAGCATAAAAGTAAATTGCAAGAAATAAATGATCTCATGTATAAGGTAGCTCAAGAGGAAGCCTTGGTGTGTGCAAGTGAACTAACCACAAGAAGAGCAAACATTTGACATTGGTCAAAATGAGCATTCTTTTTCCTTTGGAGTAAGCCACAATTCAAGCATCAGATGAATAGTCATACAAACAGATGAATTTTAAAAGCATTCAGATGGAATCCAAGGTATCATATGAAAACCAAGGTCTTAGATAACAATCCATGAATCAGATGAAATATAAAACACCATATAAAACTAAAGGTCTCAGATGAATTCCCCAGTCTCATATACATGGTTCGGATGAATCTTAAGGTATCAGATGAAAATGTAAGCTAGGGATCTATCCTAAATCCAAAAGTTCAATCTCTTTAAGCAAGGGATAGTAATAAATAGTCCAAATAATCAGAGCCAAGTTTTTTAGGATTTTGCCTTTATTGATGTCTTTTGATGAAAAGAAAAAGAAATGCCCAAAGGACAAAGAGAAAAAAGACATAAAGATAAATGACATAAAGTAAATGATATGAAATGTAAAGTCCTGAAAATAAATTATATTAATGTAAAGGGCAGGAAATTAAATGACATTAATGTAAAAGTGAGAAAATATAAAGTTAGCACAATTAATATGATTTAATGTTAATGTTAGTAGTTAGTAATTCGATTCGGGATAATTTAGCATTATGTTAAACAGTCGTAAGTGAACTTATGTAGAAATTACACATATCTGAGGTCGGGTAATAGCAATGTAGGTGTAGTGCATGTTAGAGAAATGATACAAAGTCATTCTCCGAAAATAATGCAACGCCATGGTTTAAAACCAAAAGCAAAGTGATCAAGCACAAAGACAAGGAGATTAGATCATTACTTCATTTAAATTCTTCATGATTCCTAGAGATAAACTTATCGTCAATTCAAAGTACCAAAAGTAATCATATGATCATTTAATGGTAGATTTGAAATGATGAAAGTTCATCAAGCATTAATCTAAACCTAATTGAACAAGATGAATTCATCATCATCCAATTGATCAAAATAAAATAAAGAGATGAAGAGAGAGAACAACCAAGTTGAATCACAATATTAGATTAATATATCATCAATTTCAATCACCTT